GGCTACAGTCCATGGGGTCACAAAGTGTTGGATACAGCTGAGTGATTTTTACTTCTCTTTCTAAAGAACAGTCCCATGAGGGCCAGGGAGTAAGCTTTTGCTTGAGTGAGCTCTCTGAAGAGTCCCCCAGCCCCAGCCACTAAGCATCTCCTTTGGTTTTCACCTTCCCCCTCTGCTGACACCATTTCCCCTGCTGTATTCCCCTGCCTACCCTCTCATCCCAATCCTCCCAGGCCATAGTCAAGTCTCGCCTGGCCTGAGAAGCCCTCCCTGACCACCTGAGGCCAGGTGAGTTTCACCCGCTTCCTTCCTTCACTCATTCACTCATTTGTTTGGTCTTTTCAACTTTGTTTCAACACGTCCTGAATGCCAGGTCACATGCCAGGCACTGGGGGTCGTCGGGGAATAGGGCAGGTGCAGACCCCACCTTACAGGGCTCTGGGGCTGGACACTCACCTGCGCTCCCCTGGATCCCTCCCATGAGCGACTTAACTCTGAGAAAGTCCGGCAGGAATGGGAATCCTTCAACAGCAGGGACCACATACTAAATGCCTGCCTCCCCCACGTCAGCCCGGTGCTGTTGAGAACACAGCAGGTGTCAGAGTGAGTGTGACCAGTCACTGGGGTGAATCTCTTTTGCCCCAAACACCCCTGTAGAAAACCAGGGGGACACAGAACCAGGAACACCAAAGCACAAAGGGTGTGGTGCTTCACTGTCCTTGGCGCATAGGTCCTTAATAAATACTTTTTAGATGGATGGATGAATGAATATTTCTTCCTTGATAAAGTTTCCAAGGAAGGAAAAAGAAAACTTCCCCTGGGCTTCTCTTTTGTTTGTGTGCTGATGTTAACCTGACTACCTTTAAGCTGAGCAGCCTCTAGGACCTGGATCCTCCTGCCACCTACTCAGGAGATGAGCGTTCCAAGCCTCCTGCCACTAGCACCACACACAATCACATCACCCACGGTCAGTACCACCCACCATCAATACCACCCACCATCAATACCACCCACCTTCAATACCACTCACCACCTACCATCAACACCACTCACCACCCACCCTCAATACCACTCACCATCAATACCTCTCACCACCCGCTATCAGCACTACCCACCATCAGCACCACTCACCATCAATACCTCTCACCACCCGCCATCAGCACCACCCACCATCAATACCTCTCACCACCCGCTATCAGCACTACCCACCATCAATACCTCTCACCACCCGCTATCAGCACTACCCACCATCAGCACCACTCACCATCAGCACCACTCACCACCCTCCATCAGCACCACCCACCATCAATACCTCTCACCACCCGCTATCAGCACTACCCACCATCAGCACCACCCACCATCAATACCTCTCACCACCCGCTATCAGCACCACCCACCATCAATACCTCTCACCACCCGCTATCAGCACTACCCACCATCAATACCTCTCACCACCCGCTATCAGCACTACCCACCATCAGCACCACCCACCATCAATACCACTCACCACCCGCCATCAGCACCACCCACCATCAATACCTCTCACCACCCACCATCAATACCACTCACCATCAATACCTCTCACCACCCGCTATCAGCACTACCCACCATCAGCACCACTCACCATCAGCACCACTCACCACCCTCCATCAGCACCACCCACCATCAATACCTCTCACCACCCGCTATCAGCACTACCCACCATCAGCACCACTCACCATCAATACCTCTCACCACCCGCCATCAGCACCACCCACCATCAATACCTCTCACCACCCGCTATCAGCACTACCCACCATCAATACCTCTCACCACCCGCTATCAGCACTACCCACCATCAGCACCACTCACCATCAATACCTCTCACCACTCACCATCAGCACCGCTCACCGCCCTCCATCAGCACCACGCCCCGTCAGCCCCTGGCGGCTCCCGGCGTTCCCGAGCTCCGGCCTCATCACTCCAGTCTACGGCTCTGTCTTCACATGGCCTCCCCTCTCCCTGTGCCTTCTGTCTCTTACAAGGATGCCTGTCATTGGATTCAGAGCCCACCTAAATGCTCGGGATAACTCTCATCTCGAGATCTGTAATTATATCTACAAAGCCCCCTTTCACAAATGATGGTCACAGTCACAGGTCCCAGGGTTAGCATGTGGATGTGTCTTTGGCCTGGAGGTCACCATTCAGTCCTTTACAAGAGCCAGAGGGATGCGTGGACTTGCAGAGCTGAGCTTCCTAGTGAGGAATGGCTGGCGCCTGGCCCCGCCAGTCAGAACTATTGCCAGTCTGGATGCCACAGATGACCATGGAGGTCAGCTCAGCATCTCCATCGGCCGGGGTGCCCAGGAGGGCTCACTGAGCGTCTCTAGCTGCCTTCTGGGAAACATGGGTGTCAGGACACACATGTCACTGTTGAAAAGCGCCTCCCATGCCAGAGGGGACACAGGATGGACCCTGGAAAAGGCCTTTGTTTATGGCTACTTCCATCCTACACGGAGTATTGGACCTTCTCTCTTCTCAATACCTTTCGTGAGGCCACTTGGCAAGTTTTCTGAAACTGGAGACCGAGCTGAGAACAGCATTGTGGTGTGTCGTGTAGACACTGCTATATTTAAAATGGATAACCAACAAAAGACTTTTAAACAGTGGCCTTCGGTGACTGTGGGAAGGGCCCACCCAGGGGGACTCAGAGCTTTGGGCCTGGGTTTGGACCCTGCCTGGGGAACAGCCCTGATGCATGGCCCAGAAACTGGAGGCCTGAGGCTGGAGCTGGGACGGCTCCCGGAAATGCCGCCACGAGAGTCTACAGAGGGACCGAGGAAGCGTGTCTGAATCTCCTGCACTGTTTGTGCCTTAGGACTTGTGGGCACATATTTTCCCAGAGGAGCGGGTCATGGCTTTCTGCAGAGACTCCAGAGGGCCCACACCCCCCAGAAAATGAGGGATGCAGATTTACGTCCCGGAGTAGCTAACTCAATCTACTCATCACCATTTATTTATTTTTTTACCAGTTTCTAATAAGTGTTTGCAGCTCCCTTCGGACACAGCCAGAGAGGCAGCCATGGCAGAATATTCTAGAAGGAATCCAGAACCTAGTACCCAGGGGTTCGTGGAGGGGGGTGGGTGCTAAGGCAGAGCTTCTCTGTCCCTGATTCCCTTTGGGGCTGTCCCTGGACCAACTCTGCTCTGGGCCTCGTTTTCCTCACCTGTACAATGAACGCGGTGGAGTCAGATCCCGTTGGGCCTTGCATGCACCCTGACTCACCGTCTCCCCGGACCTGAGGTGTGAGTCTCACCCACCCTAACCTGCGACCGAGACCTTGGACTCGGGGCGGGGCTGGTGGGTTCTGCAGGGAGGGCCCAGGAGGTCGCATCAGCGCACACCCACGGTCTCTGCTGCCAGGAAACCACCCCTGGGCCTTGAGCTCTGGTTAAAGTCATGACCGTCCCCCGGGGGCGCGGGTTCCCAGGCCACAGTGAGTCCTGATGGGGACCAGAGTGTGGGACCTGGAGCACAGAGGCGCTCCCTGCAAGGTCCTCCCGGCCGTCCCCCTGTGTCTCTGCATGCTAAGTTGCTCCAGTTATGTCCAGCATTTTGCAACCTCATGGGCTGCAACCGCCAGACTCCTCTGCGTGGGTTGCCATGCTCTCCTCCAGGGGATCTTCCCAACCCAGGGACCAAACCCACGATTCTTCTGACTCCTGCGTTGGCGGGCGGGTTCTTTGCCACTAGACCCACCTGGGAAGGCCCACCTTCCCTCTATTTCCTTTTGCTTCTTCATCCTCTCTCCGTGTCTCTTTTCTCTCACCTTTTATCACTGGAAGGCTGCCTACAGCGCTGTGGTCTTAGCTAACCCCTGTGGGGAGGGGACCCCTGGCCTGACTCTTGACGAGAGCCTGTGGCCGTGCTGGCCGTGTGGGTCCCACCTTATCCTGAAGTCACGGCAGCGCCTTCAGCTGCTCCAGCTGACCCCTCGTCTGGGCCACCACGGCCCCTTGTGACCCTGAGCTGTGGGGGGCGCCAAGGCCAGCATACATGCAGCCCCCTTAGTGTGGAACCCCGGATTCCTCCTGTAAGCCCCCTTTGTTCCCCAGAGAGGCCCTGACTCCAGGAAGGGTCGAGCCCATCTCTTTGTGCTCTTTGTGGCCCCCAACCACTCCACGGACTCTCATGAAACAGCTGCGTAACCATCACCCACATCTTCTCCCTGCCCAGGAAGACCGAGTCCCCCTCGTTCACTGCGGGACCCAGTGCCTGGCACAGAGCTGAGCTCAGGGATTATCACATGTGACCTGAGTGGGTGAATGAATGAACGGATGCCTGCCTAAACAAGCAAGCCTGAGTGAACCCTTTCTACCCCGTGCCTCCCTTAGAAGAGAAATGCCATTTGGGGGGGAATTCTCATACATTTGGAGGTGGTGCAGCAGACCTAGGAGACAGAAGGGGTTTCCACTCATCACTGTTTCTTGAGAGGGAAAGACTGGCCAGAATACTGACGGCACAACAATTTAACGGCAGAGGTCCCCACGCCTTGGGTCTGGCTCTGGTTCTGGCCCAACTGTCAGTCATGGGGATGGGGGTAGGGGTCAGATAGTCCTACAGTGACAGACAGGGCCCCAACTGTGCCTGGAGGCCCCCCTTGGAGAGAGCAGCTCGTTTGGCGTTTTAATGGTGGAGAATCAGCTTTGAAGGATGACGCTGGCTGAGAGGTCCCACTGCCTGGTGACCCCCATCATCGGCAGATGATATTTATCAAATGCACGTTGTCCCGGCAACAAACGAGACATAAGGAAACATGCAGCGCCAGGCAGCCCTGCTCTGCCGCCCCTCCCTGTCCCACGGTGGGCCCCCCCACTTCACCCCGGAACACCAGGGCAGCACGTTCCCTCCACTTGGTTCCCTCTGACAGCAATTTTCATTATCAAAGATGGAAGGAAGGGGCATCCCCGGGGGCCCCGGAGCACTCATGCCCGCTGACCGGCTCTCCCTCTGTCCGCAGGTGGGGCCCCATCTCGCGACCTTCCCCACCGAGGCCGATCGCCAGAGAGCCTTCAAAGCCCACCGGGAAGAGTGCGCCGTACGCCAGGGGACCCTGAGGATGGGCAACTACACCCACCCCTAAAGCCTGTCTGACGCAGTAGAAAATTCTCTGAAGGACTCGCTTGCCTTGTCCCAACTCACACAAGACACTCCCCCACTGTTGTGCGGCTTCTGCCTCGGCCAGGACCTCAGATTCGGGCCTTAGATGACTTATTTTTGCTAAGAGCCCACCTTTAGAGTTAGCCAGACTCGCTCCCCTGAGCCCCAGCAACCCCTCACGTGGGGACTCCCCTCCTCCAGCAGGACTCTACCTTGCTTCTCAAGCCCCAGCCTGATAAGAGAAACTCAAGTTTCAAGGTAGATTTTATAGGCTCCAGACTAAGGCTCTGTCCTCAAGTATTAAAAACAACCCATGTATTTGCTGTAGAAAGTGTGACAGTATCATGCTTTGAAAGCCCTCATTTCGTATTCCAAACATGAGTTTTAATTTCTCTTTTTGGGATGCCTGATGTCTCTCCATGGCAGTACTATCCCTCTGGGACCCTTGCGGGCAGGAAGAGCCCACGCTCCTTCCTTGGAGCGGGCCCCCCACCTCCTCAGGGCTAAGACACCGCCACCAACACTGACCTTGGAAGGTCACATTCCCCGCTCCTGAAAGACAATACTCTCCAGGGCTGAAAGCGCCCAGACTGGGGCCCTTTGTACCTCCATCTTTCTGCAGGTCCTCTGCTTTCTCCCCACAAATTAGATACCGATCTACTTTAAATTAGAAGAGCTATTTGTCATCCTCCTCTTGTGCCTTTATCTGAAAACTGGTGAACCAGTGTGAGAATCAGCCTCGGACTCTTTAAGGGCCCAGGCTTTCTCCACAGCATCTTGACCAGCGCCTATAAAAAGTCGGGCAAACTCTCAAGTTTCAAAATCCCCTGACTAGTCTGAGGGTTCCCAGCATTGACCTTCAACTTGGATCTCTCCCTAGAATCCCACACTCATTTATCCAACTGCAACCCCCGCCACCCGCCCCGCAGCAGGTGTCTCCACTCAAGCGTCAGCCATTCATCTCAAATCAGCACAGCCAAGACAGAGTTCTGGATTTCCGCCCCCCACCACCGAACTTGCCTCTCCCTCCATTCTCCCCACCTCACACTTGAGACCACCCTGAGACTGAAGACAGAAACTGTCACGACTCCGTCTCCTTCGCTCTCACATCCAGTCCATCAACAAGCCTGTCAGTGCTACTTCCGAAGACACCCTGATTCATCTCCGGGCCCCCATCATCTGTCTGGAGAATTGCATCAGGTTCCTGCTTCTCCCCACAATTCCTTCTCCACAGCTTGTCACCTGCCCACCCCTTCTTGTCATTTGGATCTTAGCTCAAACACCAAGTCCTCCCAACCCCCTCAGGGCAGTTCCCTGGTGGGCTCGTGGTTAGGATCCCCAGCTTTCGCTGCCGGGTCCTAGGTTCAATCCCTGGTCGGGGAAATGAGAGCCCATGAGACACATGACACAGCCAAAAATAAAATAAAATCAGGAGTTAGTTTAAAATACAAAAAAGAGTAAGATGTCCCCTATGGGAATTTCCTGATAGCCCAGTGGTTAGGACTCAGGTCCAGGTTCAATCCCTGGTCAGGGAACTAAAAGATTCTGCAAGTTGCGTGGTGTGGACAAACAAAAGATATGAACAAGTCTCCCACTCAAAAGGCCTTTCCTGGAGTGTGTGTGTGTCCGACTCTTCGTGACCCTTTGGACTGCAACCCACCAGGCTCCTCTGTCCATGGGGATTCTCCAGGCAAGAGTACTGGAGTAGGTTGCCATGCCCTCCTCCAGGAGATCTTCCCAACCCAGCGACAGAACCCAGGTCTCCTGCATCGCAAGTGGATTCTTTACCGTCTGAGCCACCAGGGGCAGCCCCCAGTTAAACCCACACTAACCTGTTTTATTCTCAGCAAAGTGATGAGCCCTTATTCACTGCCTATCTCCTCCTCTAGAAGGGAAGTGGCCCCGGACCAGGGGTTCTGAGATCCCTGGGCCCAGAGCTAGGGGCCTGCGGCATGCCCCATGGCACGAACGTCCGCTGTGGCTCCTGTCCCCCGCCCCCCACCCAGGCTAAGTGCCTGGCGGGGTCGTCCGTCAGCCTCAGCAGAGACACAGCGAGTCTGTGACTACAGATCTGAGTGAGTTTCTTGAACAGCCTCCCCAGCCCCCACACAGGCCAGCACCGCAGCTCCTTAGCAGCTGATTCCATAATGCCACACACACTAACCAACCCCCTAGGGAAACTGGCTCAGCGGGGCCCTGATGGAGCCCTACCCCATCCAAGGGTCTAAAGTCCCCCTCCCGCCCCATGCACCAGACAAGCATCCCCACTGTCTTTGCTGAAGCCCACCCGCAGCCATCTGAGCCCTGGGACCAGCGAGCCAGGCGAGGGACCGGGGCGAGCCCGAGGGGCCCGGTCACTGAGCACGCGGCCATTCAAGGGAACAGCGCCCAACTCGCCGAGTAGCTTCTGTGTGACCCTGTGTCAGTGTCCTCATTTGTGAGGCAGGACCCCGACACATCACGGGATGCTTTCTCAAGCGAACTTAGGTAGTGATTACAGGAAAGCACGGGTCTCATGTGATTAGCAGACTCCGGCACTTTGAAAGAATAGATGAATGTGGATGATTTTCCTATCAATAAACCACCCTGAAGAGGGACAGCCAGACGTCTGAGGGGCATCAAGGGATGAGGGCAGGATGCTCCAAGGAGCCTTTGTGTCCAGATGCACCAAGAAGGTCAAGATATTTTGAATGGTGCCCTCTCTTTTGCTCTGAAATCCACAATGGATAGAGGGGTACACATCAGGAAACAGAATTCCCTAAAGGATCCCAAATTAGGCTCTATCTGCCACGGCAATGAGCAAGATGCCCCACTGGTCAGTGGCCCCTCCAGGCCAGCTTTACCAAGGACGGGGTCAAGGTGGGTAAATACAAACTTGGCCAGGAAAAACTGCAGGAAATCTCTTTCGTCTGTCTGATTACCTCTTGCCTCAGCAGCGGGTCGGGCAGACCGCGTGCTGCGGGACTGGGGGGACTGGTCGGGGCTGTGATCCGTGCGCTAGGAGCACGCCTTCACCCTCTCCCGGAGTTTTCCAGCCGCTGGTGCCCCGGGGCCAGGCTCAAGCGCGCGGCAGAGTTGCTCGGTTCCTTGTCCTACAGCGCCACCCGCTGGCAAGTCCGAGCAACAGCCGAGGAAAAGCCCGGCCCTTCCCGCCCGGCCTCCTTCCCTCCCCTGGCCCGGTCCTTCGCTCCTCATGAATTATTTGTGCCCGCACAAAGCCCCAGGTCCAATTCCAGTCTGATTCCGCCCTCTCAGGTATCCTGTCGTGTCGGCCACACGCCTGTCCTCGCTCACGCAGAGCCTGAGCTGGGGGGACCTCCAGGCACAGCTGGGGCCCTTGACCATCCTTCACAACCCAGGGCCAAGTCCCCCCAAGGTTCCAGTCTGCAGAGGCCTCAGGGCTCATCCGCTCACCTCCCTCCACCACCACCCTCCCCACTCCACAGGTGCAAAAGAGATGTCGAAGGCACCCGACTTCACTCAGTAAGTCGGCCCCAAGCCAGTGATCGGTCCATTGTGTGTCCCAGAGTCTGCTCCACCTCCAAAGCCACCTCTCAATTAAAGAGAGGCGGATATGGGGACAGCTCCTGATCACGTGCCAAAGAATGCCACGCGAGCACGGCCCCCACCAGGGATGTGACCTGGAGCTCCTGTTTTTTGCTCATTTCCCTGGTGGTTGGCATTTGGGAACATTCTGCCTCCTGGTTGGGTTTCTTGGCCAAACCCCACCAGAGAGTCAACCAGACAAAGAGGCCCATGTGTACTGTCCTCCTGAGCCTCAGAGAGCAGCTGGTCTGGACCCCCACCCAGTCAGCTGGAAATTCTCAGAAGTTTCCTCGGAGGCGGGAGGAAGGCAGTACCTGTGTTCACGTGCACCAGGCAGGAGGTGGAAGCAAGCAGGGGCCTGGGGTGCTGAGACTTTGAAACAGGACTCACAAAACTGGGAGGGGCTTGAGGACATGTCTGGTCCTGCCAGAGAAGAGGAGTTACTAAGGCAGTTACTGAGCAGCCAAACCAGGACCAGAGCAGACTTCTTGGCTGGTAGGTCCAGCTTTCTTTTCACGCTGGATCCCCACTGACTTCAGCCTCTTTCTAGATTTTTAAACTAGAGCCCAAACCCCATTGGTTCTCTCCCTGCCACCCCCAACTCTGATCAAAGCAGGTAGCTAACAATCTTCTCAGCCAGAAGAAAGGAGATGGGGTTCTGGAGTCTGAAAATTGTACAAGATGTTTAGCAGGGATGGTAGCAATGAGCCAATGGTGATTGATATCTGAGCTCTGCCTGGCAGGGGGCTTCTAGAAGTCTGAAGAGAAAGCAATGCTCAAAGGCCACCAATGCAAATCCAGTCCTGGGAGGTCCCTGGGTCCAGCTGGAGATGGCTTGGCTCTTTGATTCATTCATCCAAGCTCCAGAACTTAGACCCGCAGATTTCAGGGCCCAGAGCAAGCACATGTGCATGACAGCAAGCAGACCAGCAGCTCGGGTGCCAAGGTGGGCCTGCGTGACAGCCACACAGGTCTGTGTCTCCAATCAAAAACCCTCTCTTGCGTTCATCCTTCTGGACCAAAACCATCTTTTGGCTGCATTTCTTTTTACTTGGGAAACCCTTTGATGCGTGAAATCATCATTAAACCAGAAAAAAAAAATCTAGGTTGGCTTTTTATACAGATTCCTAGAACTGAATGCAAACACATTAAAAACGTGAATTCACAATTGGGAAATAATCTTTGGAGACAAATTTAGGTTGATGGGCGTTGTTGCACTCTGTGAGATCCAGGCATGAGGGTCCATCCTGTCCTGCCCCAGTGACATCCATCACCAGCAGGGAGCACAGCGCACAGTGGGCAGGACAGAATGCCCGTTTATAGGGGAGTAGGGAAGGGGGAAGGGAGGGAGAGAGAAAGAGAAGGGGAGGAAGGGTAAGAGAAGAGAGGAAGGTAGGAGGGAGGGAGAGGAGAACAGAGGAAAAGAACGGATATGTTCTCTTTCAAGTTTCAGGAGCTCCATGGGGTTTTGAGCTAAACCAACAAAAATGATTGAGAGCAGCATGACCTTGAAACCCGCAAACTGTCCAAATCCTTGTCTGGCCCATCTGTTTGCAGAAGGATATTAGCACCCAAGCTTGGCCCATAGCGCCCAAATCCCTCGTCCCCGCCATGTTAAAAACTGGTTTCCGTAGGAAGGTCTGAGGCAAAGGGCAGGGTGGGGGGCTGACTTCTCCAGTGGGGGCCCTAACCTGCCAGAGGAAAAGCTCTGGCTATCATTCTTAGAGTCGTCATATGAAAGGCGTAATCACTATTCTCCAGGATCTGAGCCGAGTGCAGAGTCCTCACCACAACCACTTGAAGTGGGCAACTCCTCAAGGTCACAGAGCAGGGCTGGGACTGTGGTGAGGCAGGCAAACCCCTTTGGACACAAACCTTTTGACTTTCCGCCAAACTCGGTAACCAAGACTGACAATATTTTCATGCAACATTTGAAATCAAAATTTAAAAATCCCTGATGGACAAAACAGCAACAGGTTCAGACTTCCTTGGTGGTCCAGTGGTTAAAACTCTGTGCTTCCAATGCAGGGGACTTGGGTTCAATCCCTGGTCAGGGAACTAAGATCCCACATGCCACTCAGCCAAATATATATATATATGTGTGTGTGTATATATAATTTTTTTAAAATGGTAACAGGTTCAATAGAGACTTATGCTATTCACCTCACTTGCCTCACCTTAGCCCCAGCCCTGGGCTCTAGGGCCAGGATTCTACTTTAGGTCTGGCCCATTCTGGAGTCCATATCCCCAGCCACTTCACTGCCCTTGGCCAGTATTATACTGCCCTTGGCCCCAGCTACTCAGAAGCTTGAATGACGGCGTTCAAGCTACAATCCTCTACAAAAAGAAAAGACTTGAGGACTGTTCACAAAAAGCTTCGAGCACATCTCCCCATGTGTCTCTGCCTGTAAGTCAGTGAGCAAAACTGGTCAAAATAAGGCCTTTTCCGTACTCAGGACTGGGGGTACTTAGTGACATGGGGTGGAGAGGGAGGTGGGGCTATGGATAAGGAAGTCGCTAAGAACCATTGCTCAGCCAGAGGCCCAGGCCCCATCCTAACGCAAAGCCAAACCCAAGCCCAGAGCCGCTGGTTGGGCAGAAGGGCCTGGAGTCCATAGGCAGGCCACTTCATAGCCAGCAAGGGCCTCTCCCATCCTTGCCTCTCGCTACAAGCCTCCGATGCTAATGTCTTTGGACCAAAGCGAAAGCTGAGGTCTGGGCAAGAGAGGTGAGCTGCCCAGAGTGGGGCAGAGCCCGGGTCTTCTGCGAGCCAGTCTGCGCAACTGCCTCCTTGTCCTGGAGGGGAGTGATGGCTCCTTCTCCATTGCTGTTGCTCTGTGAGTGCTTGGTTTGGGCCGTTCCAGAGCTCTGGGTCCACGGAGAGACCGAAGGTTTAAAGGAAAGCAATTTCAAAGTGCTGGATGGCCAGGGGGCTGGCATTTGAAGTTAGAGGATCCCAGAGGCAGGAGCCTGGGGAGGAGGTGTTGGAGCCCAGAACGGGGGTCTGGGGGGTGCTAGTCCTGGATCTGACTGCATCTCCCCCATTGCCTTTTCTCCCCTGAGTCTTCCAAGCCTCTCCCTTCCCTGGGTGGAGGAGGTGGGTCAAGACAGCTGGGTAGAGGGCTGGGGCTCAGAAGGGACAGAGAGGGAGAGAGGTCTGTTTCCTGCCCTGTAAATAGAGTTCTCGGAGGTTAATCTGCCATGGTTCACACCCCGTTTTGTTGAACCGTCCACCCCTCCAGGACCGACCAGAATGGTTTCTCAAAGTGAGGAGTGGATCACCTACCCAGGAGCCCCAGGAACGTTAGTAAAGTTCCAATTCTTGGGCTTCTTCCCAGCTAAACAAGAGCCTAAGTGGGTACGCACACACCTCTCAGGTTGTGGACAGGCTGAGATGCAAGAACTGTCCCCTTGATGGAGAAAAGAAAAAGATGGGGGCACAGTAGTGGAGCTGGAAACCCCTAAATAGGAATAAAACAATGTTAGCAACAGTGGGCTGGATCCAAATTCCAGGTGGGATAAATGGCATAGCATGTTTTTATCACCGTATACTATGATAATTCAAAACTAATAATATAACAACCTGTTAAGTATTCTTGGGCTTGAAGAATCAGGGAGAAGCCGGCTTCGGCTGCAGCAGGTTGTGGGGGGGGGGGTAGTTAGCCTTTTTTTTTCCCCCACGGTAAGAGGTTGCCCCCCACCTTTACCACTCACCCCATATACCCGCACAGTGCCTTGCACCGCCGGAGGCACCGCTTTCGTTGGGCCGGGCATCCAAACCCCAGCGTAAGACTCCAAGGCCAGAAAAAGTCTGCCCAAGGCATGGGCAGCCCGGACCGCCGCGGGCGGAGCAGGACCGGACTTGCTTGCGGCTTAGCGGATGCCGCGGATGCCGGCCCGGGGAGTCAGGATCTCTAACAGGCCAGGATGACGAGCTCTCTGACCCAAGCTGGGACCCTGGGATCTGGGGGAGATGAGGTTCTTCCCGAGGTACGGGCAGCAGACTGGGAGCGGGGGTGGGGTGAGCAGTACAGTGGGGAGCAAAGCCTCCGGAGGCGCTGGAGCGGGAGCGAGGCCCAAGACGAGGACTGGCCCGGAAGGGCGAGGGCGGCCCAGTGTCCTCGTGATTTATCCCCCCCTCCCCATCCACTAAACGAAAACCGGCAATCGCCGGCTCGGCCCTGGAGCGGGAGGCGCCCGCTGCAGCGGCCTCTGGGCCAGGGCGGGGGCCCGTGGGCTTCTGGCCCCTCGGCGCCCGCCCTCCCGCCTCCCCCGACAGCTTGCAGCCGAGCCGGGCCCGCCGTCCCCGGGGAGCCGCCCGTCCTCGCCCCCAGCTCGGCCGGCGGCGAGGCCGCTTCCAATCTGCCGGGAGGCTCAGGGGGAGAGCGCGGGGAGCCGGGCGAGAGGCCACCGCCGGCCTGGCTCGAGGGAGAAGAAAGTTTCTGCTCCGTCCAGCTGCACCGGCCTTCCCCGGTCGGGTCTCGGGTGTGGGGGGATTCAGGCGCTTCGCTATTCCGCTGCGATCTCACATGCTGAGCCTGACGAGGGGCTGGGGTATTTTCTGGGGCCCCCAGGGGAGGGGGGCCAGGAGGGTGCCCTCCCGCTTGGAAAGGCCTGAGCTCCGGGCGCAGAACGGGTGAAGGGCGCCTCTGGTAGGCTCGCGGGCTGGTTTTCCTCCGCCCTTTGACCGCAGAGCCGGTCGCCCACCCCTGGGGTAGCCTCTAGAGGATCCAGGCCCCAGACTCGCTTCAGATCTGCCCGCAGCCCTGGGCCCCACGCGGGAGGCCGAACCCTGAAAGGCGCAGAGCTGGAGTACCACCGTGGCGGAGCTGGGGAGGGTGGAGGGGGCGAGTTATTCACAGCCAAAAGACCGTGTTTCCAGAGCTGCTTTGAAAAGAAATCCTCGGGCGGGGTTTCGGGGCTCGGGAAATGCGGGGTCGTTAGCAGACGTCTACACTCGCACCCAGAAGCTCGCGCAGGTTCCTCTTCAGAGATACAAAAACACCCGACCCCGAGACACGCTGTCGACTGGGTTGGGGTCCGTTGCGTGGCCCCTCTCGGGCCACACGGACTTCTCGGGGTCCCTCTCACGTCCCAGAACCGACCTGCCCAGCTCTCCAGCCTTGCCCCACAGTGAAGCCATCGTTCTGTCTCCTTCAGGAGCGGGCACCAAGATTTCCCCACCCCTGCCAGGCCCACCGGGTCCTCTCTGGCGAGAGGGGGGCTACAGATTTTCCTCCACGAAATGCCTGAAAACGACGCAACAAATTAAAATCTCTTCTCCACACATACAATTCTTTTTCTGCTGGGTTTAGTCCCTTTTTCTTGCTAGACGAAAGAAAAAAAAAAAAGACAGGGCAGGGAGGTAGGGACCGGGTAGAAAAGGTATCATTGACAGCCCGATGGAAGAATAATTTGAATAACTGTGGGAAAGTGTAGGGGAAAAACTTAAAAACCTTACGTCTTAACCCAACGGCAGCGGCAGCCGGGCTTTGGACCCCTCCCCGCCCGCCTGTACCCCCCTCGGCTAATCACCCTCATTAGGAGCCTCATCACCGGCCTAATGAAAGCAAACCGTGTGGAAATCGCCGGTAAACAGTTGGGTCTGTGCTGTAATTAATTCAGTGTCTCTTTTAATCAAACTGAAAGGAATCGGGCAGTGGCTTGCGGAGCCGTGACATCACCCCCAAAATCGGCCAGAGCCAATCAGCGTCATCACTCCGGGGACACGTGGGCGAGTCCCCTTAAAAACACACACACACACACACAACACAACGGAAAAAAAAAAAGAAACAAACAAAAAAAAAACCCAGCCCCAAAGTAAAAGTGAGACAAGTTCATTTTTTAAAGGAAGGGGGGGAGGCGAAGGCGCGCGCGAAGGACAGGCGGAGAGCTGCGACCGCGGAGCCGGGAGGCGCTGTCCACGGTGCTGACGGGGCCCCCGGAGCCGAGGGAGCGCGCAGAGAAGACCTCCCCGGCCAGGTGGAGCGTCATGCGCCGAGGGCCGCCGCCGCCGCTATCCGCGGTGCTGACGCCGCCAGGTGCGCTCCGGTACCCCGGCTGGTAGCGCGACTCGGGCCCGCTGCTCTCCGCGGTGCTGACCCCGCTGCCCTCGGCCACCGCTCGCCTGGAGGAAGCGTGCAGTTTGGATTTTTTTTTTTTTAAGCCCTTCTTTATTTAGATTCCAGCGTCTTCGCATCTATTCTGTGCCAAAGGGGCGCTCAGGCCGTCCGTCTCCCCCTTGGCTCTCCCCAACTTGGCGCACCCTCCCTCCCGTTTCTCCCTGACACTCCCACCACCCCCCCTCGGCTCGGCGGCTCGGCGCGATGCTGCAGAAGACGCGCTGAGCCCTTTTGGATCTAATGCGCAGAGGAGGTTGGCCCAGAGCTCCTGGGCTCCCCCAAGGCTGAACTCCATCCAAGGTGCCCGCAGGCTCCCTGCCCGCCTTCCCCATGCCAGCCCGCAGCTAGGGGCAGGGGCAGCGGCGGCTGGGGTTGGGGGTGGGTGGGGAGCTTTTGGGGAGGACAGGTCGCAGCTTGGCTATGGAAGGCTCCAATGGCTTTGGGATCGACTCCATTCTCTCCCACCGAGCCGGCAGCCCCGCCCTTCCCAAGGGGGACCCCTTGCTCGGGGACTGCCGCTCGCCCCTGGAGCTGAGTCCTCGCTCAGAGAGCAGCAGCGACTGCTCTTCACCAGCCTCGCCAGGAAGGGACTGTCTGGAGACGGGAGCCCCGCGGCCTGGCGGGGCTTCGGGACCAGGTTTGGACTCCCACCTGCAGCCTGGGCAGCTCTCGGCCCCAGCCCAGTCTCGCACCGTGACCTCCTCCTTTCTGATCAGGGATATCCTTGCCGACTGCAAGCCGCTTGCGGCCTGTGCACCCTACTCTAGCAGCGGGCAGCCGGCCGCTCCTGACCCTGGGGGCCGTCTTGCGGCCAAGGCCGGGGAGGACTTTAGAGACAAGCTGGACAAAAGTGGCAGCAGCGCCTCATCGGACTCTGAGTATAAAGGTAAGAAAATGCGAGGCGAAAACCTATGGGAGGGGGTACTCTGTTTCTGAACACTGGCATTAAAACTGGAGTGCACACACTTGGGGACATGCACACGTTCACCTGGAGCTCCCCCCGGGCCCAGGCAGAGCCGTTGGTCTTATCTGAAGCTTTCAGTCAGTCAGCCCTGTGGTTGTGCTTTTGAGCAACAAAGCATCCAGCGGAGAGAGCAAGGAGAGGAATTCTGTGCGACCCAGAAGAGATTCCCGAAAACAAAGCAAACTTTCCAAACTTCGGCTGGGACTAACCAACCCTCCGGTGGGCAGAAGCAAGTTCCTCTTAGGCCAGTGGCTCTCTGGAAAAAGACCTTGCAGAAGCAATGGAAGACCCAATGGGTTCTACTCGAATGCTTTTTTTATAAGGGGGAAACCCTAGCAGGAAATTTCAGTTGGAGCCCCGAGAACAGTCAATTTTCCACCCTTTAATTTGAATATGCAGATGGGAGGGGAATTCAGCTTTCCCTTCCGTTGGCCCCCCGGTGTGATCTGGGTCCAGGGAATCGTGCAAAAGAAATGCTCACTTCAAAGTAGAAACAGCAGTCGGGCAGGCGGCTGGCTGGCTGGGATCGGGTTCAGAGGTCTCTGCGCTCACCCGACTGTTCTCACTGGATTTCATTTGAAGTGCCCTGAGCAATCAACTTTGGGCTGTGTGTGTGGGAACCAGAGGTCCCCCAGCACCCAGCCTATACTGGGGTTGTAGGACCCTATACTTGCTTTTTCACCCCGTGAATCTTTCCATAGTTTCCTTTCCATCCTTTCTTAACCAGGGAGCTGAGATCAGCACTAAGAGGAAAGAGGGAAGGAGGAAGGAAAGGAGAAAGGAAAAAAGGAAGGAAGGAGAGAAAAAATTCCTTAATTTTGTTTCTCATCCTGGCCACTGCCTTGACTTTAGGTCTTTGGTGAGGCCAGAGGCACGAAGTTCTTTCTCAGGGAGAAGTCAGGAGGGAGGAAGGGAAGGAGTTTCAGAGCCCTGTGTCCCCATCCAGCAGAAAACGAAGGGCTGTTCAGAGCTTTTTCAGCCTTATAATTAATTCCCAGAATGCTTTCCATGAGATAAAGCTTTCCTATAAAGCCAACTTCTGTATTGTCTTGGGGGCCTTACATCTCCTGACCCATATTTGCACTGCTGCTACTGCTAAGTTGCTTCAGTCATATCTGACTCTGTGCGACCCCATAGACAGCAGCCCACCAGGCTCCGCTGTCCCTGGGATTCTTCAGGCAAGAACACTGGAGTGCGTTGCCACTTCCTTCTCCAATATATGCACTAAGTCCTCACAAAAATTTAGGAAGGCTCATTTAACACTCTCCTCCCAACCAAGAATTCGTTGTGGACACACCCTGACCTCAAACCAAAACCCATATGGGGCCCCACTCCACATCTCATTCCCTCCTCCGCTGCCCCAGGCAAGCAGAGGAGACTCCAAGGTCTCCCTGGGTCGGCTGTGCTAGGTGGGCAGGTTGGGCTGGAGCTGGAGGAAGGGAGTCCAGACGCTTGTGGCCCAAAGACCCCTGCTTTTCCCCCCAGGTCTGTTTAGAGAGACAAGGAAAACTTGCCTGGGAGAAAGGAGTGTGGTGGGGAAGTGAAGGGAAGCAAGGGAGGCAAGGTAAATATATATGTGTAACACCGTATTTTATTATTTATAATTCTCAACAACACCCAGATTTATGGTTAGAGTAAGCCACAAGACTCCCTGCACCGCGCGGTGCTTGTGAAAGAGTTTGGCTCGTGTCCCTTTATTTTTTTTGCCCATAGGTGGGATTTTGAGTCAAGGTTTCGTTTAAGATAATTGGAATATCAATTTTCTTCTCTTGTCCCTGATGATATCTGATCAGCGAGGTGATGAGGCCCGGCTGTCCACATATCACTTAAATAGGGTTGGAGCTGAGGACAGAGGAAGGTCTCTCCCACCCCTAGGTACCCCACGTTTGCATCAATAAAGCCCCAGATGAAGGAGAGGAAATAACCACCTCCGAGGCATTTCTCAAAGGCGACCCGGGCAGGAGACCTTACTGAGAGACAGACAGACACGTGGGGTAGGCAGCTAAGCGACTCCCCTATCCACCCACCATGCGAAGAGTCCCTCCTTTAAGGAGGGCATGCAGGGAAGGTCAGTCCCATCCCGAGCCTGGCATCAAAGGTTCCTCAGCGTAACATTTAAAGAAGCTGAACCGGGCTTTGAAGTCAGGCGTGCTGCAGCGCACGGTCTGGCTCGCAAGAGCCGATATCCACGGAGAAAAAAAACCGGCACTGCGCTCCCACTCCCAGCGGGCAGGGTCTGGAACTCTCAGGCGCTGAGATCGACTGAGCCTGCTTCTTCAGGTTGAGGCTGGACACTGGCGAGTGTGTATCTGAAGGCTCCAGCCTACGCCCGGGAGAGGAATTAGAGAAAAAGCCCCAGGAGCGAACCCATTCTTCTGGACACCCCAACCTCAACCTCTACCCCACCCCCCAACCTTGGAGCTCAGTCCTGAGAAATGGTGTTTTTTGTTTTTTTTTTTTTACAAATAGGCCAGACAATTAGGTCAAAAAGTAAGTTTTCCACAATATCAAGTTAGAGGTTTGGATAATCGTTTCCTCGAACTTGTTCAAACTTTGCCTGCCTGGCATAGACAGAAAAGGTCTCCCCATCCTAACAGATCCCCATCTCCTGAGGCAGCCTTGCCCCCAAGTGGCCTGAGTCCAGGAGGGCAGGGAGAGGCTGGCGAGCTGGTCTGGAGGAGGCAGTAGGAAGGCGTGGGCCCCGCTCACCGGCTTCTCACGGTTTCTCGCCGGCTAGCACTCTCCCGGCTCACCCGCTGGGGTACACCCGGTGACCGGCGCCCTCCCAGTCTCGAACCGCTTTCTGGTTGAAAAGTCTTGCTCCCTAGTGGCTCAATTAACCGGATTATTGTTTCCTACAGAGAGAAACCAACTCGCATTCAGCTGAACCCTGTCACTGCAAACGCCACGCTCAATGAAACGCAGCATAAAGGAAAAAGAGAGAAAAAGAGGGAGGGAAGCCCCATGCCCACTTTGGAGAGATGGTCTCTGGTTATATCATCACTTTAGGGAAAGAAGGAGGGAGGTCCCTGAGCTTGCTCGAGCAAGTGTGCATTTTTGGTGCAGTCAACTCCAAAGGAAAGTCCTGGGGAAAAAAGAAACCACATTGTCCAGTCCCATCCTTGTGACTCAGGAGCGGGGACCCTGCTGATGTGTCTCGACCATCGGGCGGGGGTGGGGGGTGGGGGGAGGGAAACAGTAGGCAAATGACAAGGACACACGGGCCTCAGAGGTGTGTGCATCCGAGGGGCAAACGCGTCACTTATTTTTCCAAACGCTTTGTACTCCCAGATCGGGCACCTGGCAGTTCGCATTTTGCGCTGTGCGCTGTTTGTAGTTTAAGAAACAGGGGAAACCATCCCTATAGATTCGCGCCCACACAGGGGCCAGGCGAGACATGGGTGCCCTCCAGGACCACCGTCCACTCCAGGGTGAACAGGTTTTTGTCCCTTGATGCTGGTTCTTTTCCCCAGACGCTTGCCCTCAGCTTCCTCTCTTCCTGGCCCAGATGCAGCCAGAGAATCGGGGGTACAGTCCTAAACCCCGGAGCACGCACCGGAGCAGCCCACCAGGCTGGAACTCCTGGGTCCCCTCCCCACTGCTCCCCTCCCCTGGCAGTTCCACCCAGTAGGTCCACTAATTCTTCCAGGGAGCGCCCGCGCAATGTGGGAGCTGGGTCGCGTTCTCCCTCGGCTTTGGGTTACTTCTCACCGGAGGTGTCAATCCTCCTCGGTCTGGGGGCTGGGAGGGCTCAGCCCTGAGCAGCTTTGCCGCGGCCCCACGGGCTCGAGTGCAGCGGGGCCACCGCTACCGGGAGATGCATTTACAAGATGGTGAGGGCTGGGAGATGCATTTACAAGATGGTGAGGGCCGTCAACTGGGGCAGGAGGGCGGCGAGGCTGGGCCCTGATGCGCGGCTGTGTCTCCGCAGTGAAGGAGGAGGGCGACCGGGAGATCTCCAGCTCCAGGGACAGCCCCCCAGTGCGCCTGAAAAAGCCACGCAAGGCGCGCACGGCCTTCACCGACCACCAGCTGGCACAGCTGGAGCGCAGCTTCGAGCGGCAGAAGTACCTGAGCGTGCAGGACCGCATGGAGCTCGCAGCTTCGCTCAACCTCACCGACACACAAGTCAAGACCTGGTACCAGAACCGCAGGTGAGGCCCCCTCCCCTCTCCTCCCTGCCCCTCTGCGGGACCGCCAGGACGTGGATCTGATGGATCTGACTGCCGAGAGGACCTCTGAGCTCTCCCATTCTGTGAAACTGGGACAGTGAGGCCTCGGGCAGAGAGAGAAAGCCTTGCCTGAAGCCCACGGTGAGGGAGAGACAGGACTCGATCAGGTGGACAGATGGACATGTGGACCACGGGAGGTCCAAGCCTGCCCACCCTGGCACCTTCCTCCAGCCCCGGGCAGCTGCTAGGGGTAGAGGGGCTGGCACTGAGCTTTCCTGGGATTCTTCAGGCCTCCTCAGTCTTTCTAGTCCTTGAAACTCAAGGAGGGAAGGGGCCCAGCCCTAGCTCCTTGGGGCCTGGGGGACTGGAAAACTGGTGCTGGGCACTGGCCCCAAACCTGGTGTTTCCTAATCTTCCTTCCCAAGACAGTCGCAGGATGAAGAGAAACACAAACGCGTACAACACACACACAGCCACACGCTCAACCCACAGTCGCACGCTCACATCGATAGCACTCACTAATACAAACACACCCACAGTCACCCGCACACTCTTAGCGGAGGCTGGAATGTTGCTTTCCATAAACAAGCTCAGAACACGCTGCCCCATTAATAATAAATACCGATTACTGCTCCGGGCATCAATAATTAAGGCCCGTTACAGTAATTACACAATTATGATGATGATGAATAATTCAGATAGGAAAACGGGGGTTGGTGTGGCTGAGTCCAACTCTGGGGCTGCCTCGCCGGCCAGGTGCACCCAGGAGTCCGGCCGCAGCCTTGGCAATCAGCGTGGCCTCGGCTTCCTTGCCTTCCCCCAACCCCAGCCGGCACTCGTCCGGTGGCCTCCGGGCTTCAGGACCGGACAGACTGTGGGGCTGGCCCCAAGCCTCGGACCTTAGCGCGGGGTGCGGCGGATGCGGCCGCGCGCTCTTCCTCTGCAGTCGCTGCCGTCTCTGGCCCGCGCGCTTCCGCAGAAGCGTGGCCAACTGGGGTCCCGCAGTGGGGCTGGTCTCCTCCGGGCCGGTGGCGCGGCTGGGAGCATCAACCGCGCCCCCTTCCCCCGAGAGCGGAGCGACCCCCGCGCCCCCCGCGGCCCTCTCCAGGGAGATCTGTCGTTCCAAGGCCTCTCCAGGGGGCCGATGCACGGGGGCGAGGGGCGGGATGGTGGGGAGGGAGTGGAGAGCTCCGACATCCCGCTCCAAGCGCCCAGTCTGCGATGCCCTGCGCGGAGTGTGGCGAGCTTAGACCCCAGGCTTTGGGGATAAGACAGCCTAGCTTAGAACCCGGAGTCTCCTCTTTCTAGGCCGTCCTGAGATCTGACCCACCCCTCAGTTTTCTTATCTGAAAGCGGGGATGACAGTCATGGAAGGTTTGTGGAAGATTAACAGCATTGATGCCTTTAAATAGGCGAGAACGGTGCCCGGCACCCTGTGATTTATTGAAATGAACGCATTAGTGGGCTCCCTCCTGGCCTCTCTGCAGGCGCTCCGAGGCAGGCACTCTGAGGGGCAAGGGTCTCAGAGCGCCCCAGTCCTGATCCCTGCCTTGCGCGTTTATTTCGGTCCCTAGGACTAAGTGGAAGCGACAGACGGCCGTCGGGTTGGAGCTGCTGGCCGAGGCGGGCAATTATTCGGCGCTCCAGCGGATGTTCCCGTCGCCTTATTTCTACCCGCAGAGTCTGGTTTCCAACCTGGATCCCGGCGCCGCGCTCTATCTGTACCGCGGGCCCAGCGCACCGCCGCCCGCGCTGCAGAGACCTCTGGTCCCTCGCATCCTCATCCACGGACTCCAGGGCGCCAGCGAGCCGCCGCCGCCGCTGCCCCCGCTGGCCGGCGTCCTCCCGCGCGCCGCGCAGCCTCGGTGAACCCCCGCCCGCCGGCCCGCCGGCCCGCCGGCCCGCCCGCCCGGGCGCACCCGGCCCCCCGCCCCGGGGCTCCGCGCTGGCCCCCTTCCTCCAGCCTCTGGGAGGGCTCGGGGTTTCACGCCTCTTCCCGGGGCGGGGGCGAGGGAGGGGCTCCCCGACCGGCCCTCCCTGGCGTCGGGCCCAGCGTCCCCAGAAGGGCCAAATGCCAAGTCTTCTAAGGCCAGGACCCCCGGACTGAGTCCCCCTGACCCTCCCCGCCGTCCTCTCTCCTGGTCACTCCATCAGGGAGCCACTTCCAACGCCGGTGTACATATGTCCCATCCCCCCAACCCCCCTCCCCCGCCACCGGCGCGCCCCCTCGCCCTCCCCGGGAGCAGGTGGGCCGACCCCCTTGCAGCGCTCTCCCCCTTCCCGCTCCAGCTGTACACCGAGCCCTCACCCCGCAGCCCTGACACGGAGAAGGGGAGCGCGGAGCCCCCCGCCCCCTGCGCCCCCCTCCCCGCACCAGGGCCGGCGGCAGAGCTGTACATACCGTGTGCAAAGTGTATATGAAGTTATTTATTTGTGACCCATCAGCCCGTGACTGTGTCTGTGAATCAGTGAGTCTGTGGCCTGTGCCCACCCACCGCCCGCCGTCCCAGGCGGGGCAGGCCGAGGCCAGGGGACTTGACCACCCACACCCCAACCCCCGCTTCCAGCCTCCTCTGGGGGACAGCCAGAACCCTCGGGTTCTCTCTTTTTTTAAATGTCGAAAATAAACTTCTTACAAATGACCAGGCGCTTGTCCCCGCGCTCCGTTGGTCGGTCTGCGCTCGGCCCTCCCCTATTCCTCCCAAAGATTCCTTTTCCACTTCTGGGACTCGGGCTCTTTTCACCCTCAGTAAGGAAGCACTGTGACTCACCTCCCTCTCTTCCTGGGAGCTGCGGCTGGGGGCCAGGCGTCCCCCCTCCCCGGCCTCAGTCTTCCCATCTCTATAGTGAGGTGAGTGCGTGGCTTCCCCACCTGCTCCTGCCTCTCCATCTGGTTCCGCGCTGTTCAGCCGGTCCCAGGGGCCGGGATGGGGTCAGCGCCCAGGCTGGCTTGGCTGCGGCCGGGCTGCGGTGCCCTGGCTGAGCCGGCTCATCTGGCTGCAACAAGGGTGCCGGCAGCTGGTGACCGGCCGGCCGGGCGCAGGGGCCGACAGATGGGCTCCGAGGCTGCTTCCCCCATGGGCCCCTCCGCCCTGCGCCCCGGCCGCGCGCATCAGAGGCGTCGAAGCAGCTCCCGGTCCCTGCCCCGGGTAGGACCTGAAGAGCCTTCGCTGGGGAACCCCTGACTCCCCTATCTTCTCATTGCTCCTTCACCCCACGACCATGTTTGGGACACCACCCAGAGGGAAGCCGACTCCCGTGTCTGCCCCAGGGCCCCAGCCTCTGCTTCCAGGTCTCATGGCATGGATTTCAGTCTCCAGCCAGACTCCAGACTTCACTTTCCTGTTCAAAGGGCCAAGGTCACCTCCTGGGGACCCGGTGCTCTCAGGGGAGGTGGGCTCAGGTGGTCCCCTCCCACACACCACCTGCAGCTCAGACTCCCAGGAGGCGCCTGGAGCTGGGAAGTTTGTGGGCCCGGCAAGCCCAGGCCCTCCGGTTTTGTGGCGGGACTGCTCTGGGAGAGGACTGCTGGGTGGAGGAGGGGTGGGGTTCGGATCCCACTCTTGACTCCCCTCCGCTGGCCTCTGCTACTGTTTCCTCCCACCTCCCCGCCAGCACCCTCTCACCACCCCTTTTCTCTCCTAGGGTGCTGAGGGTATTATTCTAATTTTGCCAAAAGCACAGCAGCTAATTAAGTCAAGGAGCCCCTCGGCTTTCGAGTTCTTTTGCATGTGAATGGGGGTTGGTAAATCCTCAGCTCTGGCTTGGGGGGGTGGGGTGGGCAGCGAGGGGGGACTGTCCCCAACTCAGGGTTAATGAAGTGGGAAAGAAGTCTCTCACAGCCTCCTGCAAACAAACCCCCCCCCCACCCCCATGCAACACACCCTGCCCAAATCCTACATGGATTGACTTAAACCCAGGGGATAAGTGCTTTAAATTAATCTCATTGAATAAGAATGAGACCAAACAAAACTCTTTAAAATCATATTAAAAATCTATCAAAGGACAACTTGCACTGGTGTGCTTTTCATTTTGTGCAAGGGAAGGAGATAGACTGGAGCAACCACCCTTACATTTACACAGTGGCCGTGTAAACCACAGACACATTCCCAACTATGTAATTGTCCTTGTACCTCCGAGCTGATTTCATATCTTACACTAATGAAGAACAAGGCTCCCCGACAAGTTTATAATTACAGTATTTTAAATTGTCCTGCACTTCCCATCTGTAATAGTAACTTTACAACCTCCGCAGTGAGGTGGGCTTCGGTTTTCATCCATTTAGAAGGCTAAATCGGTTTCTCTGTTCCCAACCCTGGGGGCTGGGTGAACTCTCCCTTAAGATAGAAAAAAAAAAAAAAACAAGAATGAATGTGTGAGCCCCCCAGCAGGCAAGACAATAGGAGAGGCACTGAGAAAGCTGCGTCTCAGGGCCTCCCCTGACCCACTCCCACCCTCCCTTATAAACCTAGACTCCAGGCGGGCAGGGGCAACAGTTGAAAAGAAGTTGAGATTCCCCTAGCAGTCTTGTTGCGAGGCTTCTGAGCCTGTTTGAGAAGTCGAGCTGATTTTAAGGGGTGCCCGGCCGCCTCCACGCTGAAAGGCTTTGCTCTGAACTCCTCCTCTGGTGGAGCAGATTAAGAGATAAGGCGTCGTGGTCATGCAGGCAATTTAACAAGACCAGTGGAGCGCCCTTTGCAAGGAGGGCAACTTCTCCAGTGGAAAAAAAAAAAAAAAAGCCTTAAATTTCTGTCTCCTGGAAGCGACGGTTGGCTTCCGCTGACTTTCCATCGAAGGGCTCAAGTGCTAAGTACCAAGGGTGCTAGCAGTTTGGATAAACCTGCCTTAAGGGGCTCTCATCGACTCCTCTCTCTCCCCTAAATCTCACCTCCCTTCACCACAGGGGGGAGAAAAAAATCAAAGGAATCCACTGGGCTTTGTCAGAATGTCCTTTGCTGAGAGTCGGTAGGCTCTGCTTCTCTGAAAGTGGAAAATGCTGCTTGCATTGGATCGGCGCGGCCTTCCTTAATCACTCACCGAGGGCTCTCTGCCCTTCGGTGCGTGCGAATGGGGGGCCCTGTGAAGAAGTGCAGCCCACAAGGGTTGCAAACATGAAGATGTCTGGGATTCAAAAAGAGCATTTTATAAGCCCATGAGGGAAAAAAGCTTTACGCTGCAACATTCCACGAAATGTCCAGATTCTCTGACTTCTAAATATGGGGATCAGGTTTATGAGACAGAGAAAGAGGTAAGTTTGGGAAATTAGAAAAAGAGGCAGGATTAGAAATACACACAAAATTAGGATATGTACAGGGGAATTAGGCTAAAGCTTTTCCTAATTGAGCCTGAAATGTATAATGTGTCAAGAGCCATAATAAGAGAGAAAAAGATTTATTTTAAGGTTATTTAAATTTAGATAATATTACCCCTAAATCTGCTAAATCATTGTTTCTTTATTAACTGGGGGTAATATATTGATTCTACTTAGAAACAGGCCCGGACAGCATCCATGGCAAGAAACCTTCACTTAAGTCTCAGCACATGAAGAGGAAGTTTCAATCTCAGAATTAGTCACTTAAATGCTTTGCAGGGTCCTGGCACTTCTGCCCGCTCCCAGGAATGCAGAACTCTGCAGATTCCTACTTTGGGGGGCGGGGGTGGGGGGAGGCAGGGAAAGCAGGGTTTCTCTTTGATCATTCCAGATCACTGGCATTAATCCTCTCTCACACAGCTGGGTTTTGTTGACAAAGTTTGATCCCGCCTTTTCTCGTCCCAATCTTGTGGACCCTCACATATGGAAATAAAAAGTAGGTGGCAGATTTACCCAGAGTCAGTACTGCTTGTGCTGCAGGTGTATTTATTTATCATCATTGTTACAGATTAATTCCAATGTGATGGCCAAGTCTCTGAGGTCACATTTTCCCTGCACTGGTGGGCCAGGGCTTATGAAACTCACCCTCACCTTCAGGACACGTCCCTTCTGGTGTGACATCCACCTATGTTCACCTTACACCTGAGGGATAGAGGCCAGCAAGCCTCTCCGCTCCCCATGGGCCCCGCAGACTGCTTTTGCCTGGGTAACTCTCACGGTCCTCGCCGGGTCCTTGAGCTCACGTGGCTCTGGAGGGGTTACTGAAGGGGGGCCTCCACACCCGTGGTAGTAACTTCAGAGACTGGGGAGCTGAGAACAAGAGGAGAGGCGGAGAGAAGAGAACACTGCTCGGGGACAGGGAGGGGCCAGGAGGCTCTGCTTCCCCTCTCCCGCGGGCCACTCTGGAGTCACCCCGCGTCCAAGCCTTACATTTATTGGGAAATCAATACGCCCCGGGGGGGTTCTCTTTCAGACCTCCCAGAAAACACAACGGGGGAGGGGCAGCTGTGGCCTGGGCCACAATACAGACCCCGAGCCTTTCTGGAACTCAAGATGGGAGAAAACGCTCAGGACATTGGTGCCTTTTGAGTTCAAAGGCAAACTAGAAAAAGGCAACGGTAAATCAATTAGCCCCAAGAAAGTACGTTTTCCCCTTGACAAGGACAGAGCATCGCAGGTGAGTGCATATGCGGGAACTGAGACCCCCGAAGGCATTTGTGACCCACACCAAACGCTCATTTGGTCCTTTTTAATAAAGCATTTGTATACATCAAGAAAACGATCTGATAGTCTTTTCTCTTTACCAATTCCAGTTTTTAAAATCCTGTTTTACAAAATTCAGGCTAACATACGTGTAGAGAGTAGCTTAAAGTGAAAGGTGAAACTTCTTCAGAACGGCATCACCAGGCAGGATCCCCTCCTGGTGGGTGCCGCAGGACGTCAGGATTTACATTAAGTGATTAAGTGCTCATGTGATCTACGGGCAGTGATGGAATACATCTGAGAGGGGTCTTACACAAGGCAGGTTAATCAGATAATCCACCCCGTGCTGACCCCCGCCCCTACAGGGACGGGGATCAGCAGGGGGTGGCGGTGGCACCCTCAGGTCTCACGGGGCTCCAGGGTCCACCCTGAGGCCCCGTCCTGTGCAGGCAGAGGTTAACATACTTTCTGGGACGTCTCCCAGTCGTTCTGGGAGGCCTGGGGGCAGTGAGGGGGTGGTTTTAATCTGTTCCCTCGGCAGAGGCTGGGCCCGGGTTTCGGGCGGTGCCTCGGGGCTGGCTGGGCCCCGAGCGCGTGTTCTGCTTCCTGACCTTGGCGCTGCCGGTCTCCATCCCGCTGGCGTATTCGGAACGCAAGATTTCAGCAAGGCGCTGCTTACTCTGGGTCTTCTTCTTCTGAAGGTCAGGCCTGAGGAGCAGTGACAGTGGTGGGGGAGGGGGGAGGAAAGGAAACTTTATTATTATTTTTTCCTTCTCCATTTGGGAAGAGGCGGATGGCAGCTGGTTCCAAGAGTGCAGAACTGACATTTTTGTATTAACAGAAGTACAATCCCTTCAATAGCGCTTGTTTTGATATTCTATACACCACAAGATTAGATACGCTGCTGACAGATTTTCATAACGGTGGCAAAATATCATGGCATTTTTAAAAGTGAGGCTTTGTTCTGTGTTGTTTTCACGGAAAGAAAAGAATGAAACACACACATACTCTGATGGCAAATGAGGTGTATGATACAGCAGTTTGCCAAAGGATGGGGGGAAACCCACCCTGAAACTCACAACACTGCACGCCGGTGCCTGGGAGTGGCTCCTGGGAGCCCCCTGCCCTCGGCTGCCTCCTGGGGACCCGCCTGGGAAGCTGGCGGGGGCTGCGGTGTCTGCCACCGACACCTCCTCCCTGACTGCAGAGCCTTTGGTAATAAAAATCATTTCTGACCGTAAAAGCCCCGCACCCAGGTGTGCCCGGGCAGACGGCGGCACGGCATCTGTGCTGGGGATGGACCCAACCCGCACGGAAGGTGCCGAAGCCTGAAAATCAATGTCAGATGGTGAATCCTAGTAACTGGTTTCAAAAGGCAGCCGCTTCATCATTTATTTGATCAGAAGATCAGAGGGGGAAATTTGTAGAAGTTCAATTGTACACAGAAAAAATGATTATGAAAACTGAAGAGTAAAATAATGCCTCTTAAGACAGGATTTTATCCAAAACGACAGGGCCGTCACCAGAGGACCCGTCTTGCTGTGCCGCAATGCCTTCAGCCCTGAGGTGGCGACAGCCTGGGCTCGCACGGAAGGCAGATGCTACCCTCTGCTATCTGCGTCGACAGCGTTCCCTCTGCTGTAAAATCAGAGGACGCATCAGACTGAAAAGAAGTAAAACAAAACTCCTTCGAAGCCCAGAAAGTAATGACAAGACTAACACTGTGCCGGCAACGTGATTAGAAAGTCTGTAACCAGGTTACACTCACACTGCGGAGGGTGGGGTACATGCGACGGTGGGGCTAATCCATGTCAGCCACACAGTGGTTTCCACTGTCACCAACAGGGAGGAATGCAAAGCCAACCTGTGCTGGGAAGCACACTCTTGAGGCCAGGGGATAACAGTGCCCTATGGTTAAGGTCAGGCGTCTGCCGTAACATGGGTGTGTGTCAGTGCAGGACAGGGCCTGGCGAGGAGCTCAGAGATGGCGGGGGGAGGACTGTCACTCCACAAGGCAGGCTCGATCACAGTCTCAACTACAGATGAGGAAACCAAGACCAGAGGAGGGGAAGCAGCCGCCCCAAGACCATCCACATCCCAAGAGCGTAAGCCAGATGCAAACACGGGCTGTGGACTCAAGCCTGAGCTCTTCCCACCAGAAGCCGGTCCGGAATGGAACCATTGGGCGGGCAGGAGGGCCCAGTGGGATCAGGGATGACAAACCACCACGTTTGACATGGAGGAGGCCTTCATGTCTCACAGGAGTGTTTCAGTGGGGCGATGCGGGCAGAGGCTGGATGACAGGGAGCTGTGAGGGGAGAGCTGCAGCATGAAGGGGGGACCAGGGCTGGAACCCTGCTCTGTCACTCACTAGCTGAATGACGGTGATGGGGGACTCGGGCTTCCGCATCTGAAAAGTGGGGACGATCCTTGGAATGCAGTTCACAGGCTTTGTGAACATGAAAGAGAATAAGACATGGAGTGCTGGCTGGTGGCTGGCACGTGAGTTGCAGACAACCGCAGTTAAAACCAGGGCAGCTGAAACCCAGAGAGGCCAAGCGACTCCCGCCAGGCCACACCGGAGCTGGGACTGACTCTCGGGCCTTGACATCAGCACCGGGCTCACCCTTTCAGACGGGCAGTGGCTCTAACCTCCCGGGCCCTGGTGGAGGTTCGTCCATGCTCGGGGCTCATGTGCGGGTGGCACTGAGCGGGAGATCGGCCTGCAGCTGAATGCGCCCAGCGTGTTCCAAACGGAATGCTGCCAGTTCCCGGGCGTGCAGTTTATTTTTAGTCGGGTGACATGTCAGACAGACTGGAAAGGTTCTGACAAGAAGGAATGCTTTTTCTCCCCTTCTTGTTTGAAGCCAGGTATTCACATCATGTATAATTTTAAATGTAACAACCCGAGTTTCAAAATATGCAAAAGTTCAGTCAAAATATGCAAAAGTTCAGTCAAAATATCCTCCCAGCAGCCTAAGCGCTACCGCTCCGATGCTGACTTGTGCCACTGCTAAGGCGACATAAATAACCGGCATCTGACTGGGCACTGATGCACCAACTGCCAACAGCGTGGGCACAGAGCGGGAACGCGGCCTGCGTCCAGCCCAGTGCGTGGCAGCTGCCTGTGCTCAGGCCGCTGGGCTCAGACCCGGTGTCGAAGGGCACGGCGAGACGGGCGGTGTACCAGTGTGTACACACATACACACACATGCGTGCGATGTACCAGTGTGTATACACACACGCGTGTGATGTACCAGTGTGCACACACACACGCACAATGTACCAGTGGGTACACACACATGCATGTGATGTACCAGTGTGTACACACACACGGTGATGCAAAACTGTACACACACATGCGTGCAATGTACCAGTGTATACATACACAGTGTGACACGAAACTGTACACACACACACACGTGATGTACCAGTGTGTACACACAGTGACACATAACTGTACACACATGCGTGCGATGTACCAGTGTATACACACACACAGAGAGAATGTGATGCATAACTGTATACACACATCCCCCCTGGGACCCCCCTCAGTCTACCTCCGAGTCATGGGAGATTGGTCCTTCCTGGCTGACAAACTCAGCCAGGCCTGGGCTGGGAAGGTGACCTCTAGGGGGTGGCTCCTGCCCTTGATCCAGGCCTGGGGCTGTGGATGGTGACCTCTGGTGGGTGGGCTGTGCCTTGATGAGGAACATTTCTCAGGGTCTCCGAGTCTACCCTGACTAAGGCAGAGAATGCTGGCAGAGAGCTGGATATGCTAGTCTTGAGGTTATGTTCTCAACATTTCCTAAGTATTTTACGATTTTACTCTAATCACTATTCTTCCGACTTGAGACCCAAACTCCAGCTCTTGAGAGACAGTCCAGAGAGCAAACAGGGGGTCCTGCCTTCCAGGCCCGGACCTCTTCTGCAGGAGGAAGGGCCTCGGGGCCGGCCCTGCACAGGTTCCCCCTGCTGACACCCTGACGGGACCCTCCTTTCACTCAGCCGGCTTGCCGCCTTCTTTTCCTTTGTTCTGGGGCCCAGTGCCCGAACGGACGAAGTACAGATGGGAAGATGAAACGACGGGTGCATGGGGCCTCGGCTCCTTCTCCTGCCAAGCTGCAGTTCTCCCAGAAAATTGCCAACTTTCTTGCCCTCCTTGCCCTCCAAATACGCAAGCCCCTCTCAAGTGGGCATCCTGAGCATCCACTGGAGTAATCCCGTAGTTACCAAGCAACAGATCAGTTTATCTAACCACAGGGAACTCCCTTGTAGTGAAGGCTGGATAACCCCCCCTCGGTTACCAGGCTGGATTACCCAGCAGGACAGGCAGATGCCACTTCCACTGCCAATGAGGTGAAATCGCAGCCTAATTAGGAAATCAATACGCCTGGGAGGATGACCACTGAAAAAGAGAGCTCTCAGGACCTTCTCCCAACGTCACCAATAAATTCAGAGACAACCATCCTAGGTAAAAAGTCAGTCTAACACATGGCAAGCTTTTGCAGGACAGAACTGTAAATTATATCAGAGGATAACAGATGCATTTTTATGTATTGTCTAGCCTCTCAATATTTTACATTTTACAGCTTTAGGATCATGCTTAGAAAAATCTTCCTCATTCCAGCTTTTTAAAAATATTCAAGTATAGTGTCTTTCTTGAAAGGAGATCAAACTAGTCAATCCCAAAAATCAACCCTGAATATTCATTGGAAGGACTGATGCTGAAGCTCCAATACTTTGGCCACCTGATGTGAAGAGCCGACTCATTGGAAAAAACCCTGATGCTGGGAAAGACTGAAAGCAAAAGAAGGGGACGACAGAGGATGAGATGGTTGGATGGCATCACCGACTCAACCGACACGAGTTTGAACAAACTTCGGGAGTTGGTGACAAACAGGGAGGCCTGGCGTGCTGCAGTCCATGGGGTCTTAAAGAGTGGGACACAACTTACCAACTGAACAACAATTTTCTCTGAGCCTGCTACTACTGCTTTAACTCTATCTAGATTTTGTTTTGGTTTATGGTAGGATGTGGCAAATTCAACCTTTTCTTCACAAGAGTCATCCAGTTATCCCCGTCACTGAACAAGAACTCTTTCCCCCATGGTCTTGAAATCTACCTCTAGAACATTCCTTCAGACGTTCAGAACACTTTTTGCTGGCCATATTTAGAGAGTACATGATAATGGTGATGGTGATGATGACACAGTGGCCAGTTAATAGGTCCACCAAACATATTAACATACAAGCGAATAAGAACTATCGGCGTGTTCAGCAAATTTAAATATGAAAGCAAGTCAAATCATAGCCACCGAAAAGAAGGCTTGAGGCCGCCTCCAGGTTTGCACCCTCCCGCCTGGCCCCGGCCCTTGCAGATGAATAAAGGCCCCGAATCAGAAGGGGTTCAGGTGGCTCTCCAGTGACAGTGAGAGTGACTGATAACTCCAGGATGAAGGTGACATGCCGTCCTCCATGTGCAACAAAGTCGTTTAGGTGCAGAACCCGCTGGTGTGGATGGGAAGGCCAGCCCACTGAAGAGACGCATGCTGTCACATGGAAGAGGAAGGAAGTGCATCAGGGCTCCTTAACCCCGGCTGCTGTTTCGGCAGACAAGCACTGGTGGGCAGCCTGTCTTGAGGATGCCTTCTCTGCGGTATCTTAGAATCAGACCAACTCGAATGTCTGTAAAACTCCTAGGGCCCC